CAAAGTCTTTCATCCCGTTTAAACCATAAGCAACACAAGCCAAGATACATTAACTGAAAAAGATGGTAGATAGTATCACCCAGAAGGTTTTTGCGAAATAGATATGTATTTAAATCGGTTTTAAAGGAGTCCAGTGTCTGGCTGTTTCTGACAGCGACTGGAATGACTTTCCAAATTGTTGGGCCGGCAAATGCAAAAGTCGCTTTCCGTAAGTCTCAAGGCGAAAAACACGGTATCGATATTTTGCCACTATCGGATGAGCGGAACTCTCTAGTGGGTACATACGGCGGCATGAGTGCTTTGAGATAAGATTGCGCCAGGCCAAGTAAGCAGCGGTAGCATTAAGTTGCGATTTTGTACTCTATGCGAGCATGGACCGGCAGCCATAGCTGCTCTCTCAGAAGTGTTTTAGCATGGTCGAATTTGCGTTTGCAAAGAACAATGCGAGCTGCATTATTCTGTGCTCTAAGAATTTTATCCAGGAGCGTAGCTGGGAGACCAACCATGAGAGCATAGCAGTAGTCCAAGCGTGATAAAACAAATGCAGACATTAGCATCTTTGATGCATCTAACGTTAAGAAAGGTCTGATAAAACTAATCCTGCGCAGCTCTAGGAAAATTGCCTTGCAAAGCACGTTAATATTATTTTCCATAGTAAGTTTTTCTGTCTAAATAGACAACCAGGTCTCGCACTGTATGAGCAAACTCAATCTGCATACCTGAGAGAGTAAGTGATGTTGTGTGTTTTACAGATTTTTGTTTCTTAGCAGTAGAAATGTGGATCACCTCAGTCTTATCATCATTCAATTTGAGCTTGTTTATGGTCATCCAGAGCTTAACTGATTCCACTGTCTTCTGAGTTGTACGAAGAAGTTGAGGGAACTAATAATAAACAATAATAATAAAGTTAATTTCAAAAACACGCTTCATCCCCAATGCTCGAAGCGCGTACAAAGTCAACAAATCTATAATTTACCACATTAAAAAAAAAAAAAAAAACGCAACACTACAAAAACTTATTACAAGCATACCATGGCAAAGTCTTTCAACCCTAAAATAAACAGCCATTTTGCATTAACTGGAAAATAAGGTAGACAGTCATCAAAGAAGGTGCTTTCGAAATAGATGCGTCTTTAAATCGGTTTTAAAGGACTCCAGTGGCTGGCTGATTCTGAGCTCGACAGCAAGGGCGTTCCAAATTGTTGGAAAAGCAAATGCGAAAGTGAGCTTTCCTTAAGTCTCAAGGCAAACACGTGGTGTCGAGAGTTTGACACTATCGGATGAGCGGAGCTGTCTAGTGGGTACATAAGGCGTCAGCAGCTCTTTCAGATAGGACGGCGCCAGGTCATGTAAGCAGCGGTAGCACAAAATTGCGATTTTGTACTCTATGCGAGCACGCACCGGCAGCCAGTGCAACTCTCTCAGAATTGTTTTTGCATGGTCGAACTTGCGTTTGCGGAGAACAATGCGAGCCGCATTATTCTGTGCTATTTGAATTTTATCCAGGAGCGTAGCTGGAAGACACACCATGAGAGCGTTGCAATAGTCCATGAGTGATAGCACAAATGCAGACATCAGCCTCTTTGTTGCATCAATTGTTAGGAAGGGCCTGATGTGACTAATCCTGCGCAGCTCCAGAAAAATCGCCTTGTATAGCATGTTAATGTGACTTTCAAAAGTTAGTCTTGTATCTAGGTAAACACCCAGGTACCGCATTGTTCGAGCTAATTCAATACGCACACCTGAGAGAGTAATGGATGTAGTGTTATTTGCAGATTTTTGCTTCTGAGCGGTCACGATGGGGAGCAGCTCAATCTTATCATCATTCAATTTGAGCTTGTTTGTGGTCATCGAGTGCTTAACCGTCTCCATTGTCTTCTGTTTCATACTGAGAAGCTGAGGGAACTGAGAAGGGATTACGGATTGATGAAGTTGTGTATCATCCGCGAACATTTGATACAACATGTCAAACTGCCTGATCTCTGCACCCAGGGGCTGAATGTACATTGTGAAAAGCACCGGGCCTAGGAACGAGCCCTGGGGTACTCCGAATTCGATATTAGATTTCTTTGAGGTCAAGCCGTTTGAAATATCTAACTGCACCCGATTAGTCAGATACTATAGGAACCAACTCAGGACGGTATCAGTGAGACCGAACGTTTGTTGCAGACGCTGGAGCAGTATGCCGTGATCAAGCGTATCGAAAGCTGCCGATAAATCGATTAAAGACAAAATCGATATCTGGCCCTCATCACAAGACGACAGAAGGTCGTTTACGACGCGCAACAGGGCTGTCTCAGTAGAGTGATGCGCCCTGTATGCTGACTGGAATTGTTCAAACAAGTCAAAGTGAGTGAGGTGATCCAGGAGTTGGCGGAGAACGACTTTTTCTAAGATTTTAGAAATAAATGGTAGATTTGAGTTTGGGCAATAATTTTCCATCACATTTGGGTCAAGATTTGATTCCTTTAATAGTGGAGTGACGATCGCATGAGAGGGGATCACGGATTGATGAAGTTGTGTTTCGTCCGCGAACATGTGATATAGCGTGTCAAATTGCTTGATCACTGCACCCAGTGGCTGAACGTACATAGTGAAAAGCATCGGGCCTAGGATCGAGCCCTGGGGTTCTCCGAAGTCAATTATAGATTGCTTCGAGGTCAAGTCGTTTAAAATAACTGACTTGACCCGATTTGTCATATACGAGTGAAACCATCTCAGGATGGTATCTGTGAGACTGAACGTTTTTTGAAGACGCTGGAGCAGTATGCCGTGGTCAAGCGTATCGAAAGCTGCCGATAGATCGAGTAAAGACAAAATGGATACCTGGCCCTCATCACCTGGCCCAAGACCAATAAATTGATCATTTTGGCTCCTATTTTGTAGAAGGATTTTGCGATGTTTCTGTATGGGGTGTTTTAAAAAGGATTCTAATTGGGTTCAAATGCCTTTACGGCGAGTGTATCAGGAACTGTGTATATGAAAACAGGACGCTAAGGAGGCAAGTGTGTCAAGTGTTTTCGCTACGACTGTTCCTTTTTGAAGCTTATTCCATTCCTTGATTGTCTTGTGCAGGAATGAGCAGCTCCTGAACTCAGTCCTTATTGTTATAAGCCATCACTGCCTGTCATGGTGTCGTCGCTGTCTAGGAAGGAGAGTGATGATTTTCTGTTTAAAACTTTAGCATTGTAACAGCATAACTTTTTGAACATCATGGAGAGGCTAGATAATCGTCACTGTTCTTTAAATGGTGAAGAATAGCGCCACTGTGTTTCAAGCATACTGCCAACACTTGAGGGTTTCCTGTAGCACCATTGGTCTCAAGCTTTTGGTTTTGGAAATTTTGGGGGTCAAACAAACCTTACACAGGTGTTACCTAAGACCATCGGAAAAAAACTTATTTACGAAGTAGCCACAAACATTATTCTATTTCTAAACTTACCAAACATTGTTAACTGTATTAAAGTTTAACCCCATTTTGAAGATTGAGTACCACTGATGTTGCGGTTCAGGTAAAATAACTGTTTTAATTTGTTCTGTGGTCAATGTGAATAATACTGATTTTATTTTTAATTTTCCTTTATTTGGTAAAATTAACAATTAAAAAAAAAAATATAGGGCAAAGAAGCGTTCTGTAAAGAAGAGGGATTACTCATGAAATTACTAACATTTCACCTTAAAGGGAAGGGTAATAATGCGATTTTCTTAACATAAGTTTATTCACCAACAAAATTGAATGAAAGTAAACGGGGCGCCAAAACAGCTCTCCTCTTTAAAAAAAAAGTAAAACATATATATTTGTGGAGATATAATACATTTTCCACGGAAGAAGTAAAATAAAATGCATGTTATAGCCTTCAATATATTAAACAAATGCTTCTTAACAGCTTATTAACACTTGAAGAAGTTATATTACCAATGAAAATTAATTTCTAGAAAAAATATCAGCAATCACATTTGTTTTGCCTTTAATATGCTTTATGTCCAAATTATATTGCAACACTCATCACTCGTATGTCCTTCTATTGCACAGACTCCTCCATCAGAATGAAGTTTTTGAACTTTTTTTCAATCTGTGTCTGTGTTCGTTGCGTGTAGCTACTTACTGAGGTGTCATTCTTTTTCCCGGAAGTTTTCGACATGAGTTTCGCTAACCCGTTTCCACATCTCCCTAAACGATTTACGATTTGCTTGGGTGACACATTCATGACCATTAGTATTAATAATTTTTCAAGGATAAGGTACCCGCACTGATCCGTGTTCAAGGATACAAACCTTTGGCTGCCTTACCAGTAAAAGCCGGTAGCAGTTATGTAGACCACACTTTTTCTGGAATTTAAAAATGTAGGCTCATTTATTTAAAATTTGCAAAATATTTGTCACACTCCTTTTTTCAAAATGTAGGTATTAATTTTGCAAATTTTATTGCACCAGAAACCAGTTTATTAGGAACCGAGAGTCTATTTTCCATTGCTCTAAAATTGGAATTTATTTTAATTTCTTTAAATTGTATTTATACCTTTTTTCTGTGCTTCTAGCTCCATTTTCTTAAACTATCATTCTTTTTCACTGTAACTCTCGATCAATTTTTTAAGCCTCGCTATTTTTCTAGCTCCAGTAGTTTGAGCTTTAGTTTGAGCCCTATACTAGAATCATTCGGCTGTGTGACTGAGGCCAGTTCATCTTCAAACAAAATATCCTCATCTACTAAGTGGCCAATAATCACATATTGTACCGTCTTTTTTAACGCCGAATGAGCAAAACTTATTCCTAAATCTTTAGCAAAGGAAAACAGCTACTTTCTAGAACATCTGTCTAATGCCTATACTAATGGGTTGTCAACTTCAGATACCATTTTGACACAGACAAAATGTAGCACTTATTTTTATACAAAATTCAGCTTTTTAAAGCTCTGTTATTGGTATCGTAATATGGTATCGTTAACTGAGTTTAGTGTAAGTAAACTAAAAAAACAGTGGGTCAAAATCCAATGTCAAACACTCCATTTATTATTGTAGTAATGAAAAAAGTTTTGGATTCAAATTATCTAAAGACAAGCAAATCAATTTTGTTTTTGGTGCTAATGAGAAATAAAAAAAATGCATATTAAAGTATCCAAGGACGGGTAACCCAATTTTACTACGTACTTTTATTAGCATGCAGGAATAAATCTTTTATTTAGGGAAATGTATGGCTCATTCTAAAACAGTACACAACAAAGACGATATCATATGTTAACAATAGCAAAGAATACCATACTCAAACCAGAACTAATAACAATTATTACTTTTTTATGTTGATTAAAAATTTTAAAATCAAAAAGAAATACTATTCAAGATATTGGCCTAACGTATAACGATTGGCTTATACAAGTACAGTGTGCAAAATTGTGCGATTGTGAAAAGGAACCTACACACACATAGATAATAAATCGCTCTAGCAAAATAAAAGCATACGTTCAAAATAACGCTCGTCATTCGTCTCTTCGTCTGTTCCCTGCCATTGAAATGTCACATTAAGAAATGGCGTTAGCTGGCCTTCGAACTAATGCTCTTTTTCCTGCCCCAGAGGCCCCCCCCCCACTATACCCGGTATGTGCCGCAAAGCGGCTCCTTGGAATGTCTTTTTGCCAGGACAGCCACCACCCGAGTCCACTAGATCGGGTTCTGCTGGAGGCCGCCCCACTCGATAAACACTCAGTCGGTCCGACACTATGTTCGCATTCTGTGCACACGAACGATTTTCCTAGGAGTTGGGATGGTAAATTTACGTCCTAATATCTTCCCCCACCCATCCCGGGGGTCCATTTGACGCCCTTTAAGAGTGTTTGTACAGTGTTTTTTTTTTTTTGACGCAACTATCTTGCGAAGTAGATGGAACTAAATGGTTGCCTTAGACCAGCTTCTTAGGGCTGCATACTAAGAATCGTATGCCAGAGTTTACCACCTTCGCCTCTCGCCCCATATCCTTTAACGGCAACTTGTAATCATGATCCCTACCTTGTCTCTACCTTTACATCCATTTGTGAATTGTCACAGCTGGCTGCACTGTAGATGATGTTTTATTTATGGCAGGTACCGAGCATGTCCCTTGTCTGCCCATGCAGGACGCGCCACAATTGTCTTGTTCCCTGAGTAACGTTGACGGGGTCGAATGGCCCCTGTCGCCTCCCAATTCGCAAGCCACTACAGACTTGTAAACCGGAGTCCCAGGGGAAGGTCCTTGCCTTTATATTGCCTAATGATTTAGACAATTCTAAAAAAAAAAAATACACATTGTACTCGCTTTCCGCTGCTTCCACAATATTCTGAAAATTTTGAATCATGAAACAGACCATAGATTTTATCCTATTGTAGCTGAGGTTAAGGTGAGATCATAACTAATACGTCACTGCTTACTAATAGCAAAGCCGAACTTAGGGTCATCTTAAGTTCATTCACCAGAAAAGATGAATGAAAGCGAACGAGGCGCCAAAATAGCCACAGTGGTGGAAACCAGTGGAAGACTAATCGGGCAGATGATAACAAGGGACCCATAGGGCAAGACCAGATTTATCGATGAAAAGATTATTTTCAAAGTTAAGGAGTACAAAATTTAAAACTCTTATCCGCATATCCAAAGTACACTAGCTACAGCTATGGTGGCAGCTTCATTTTGTGGTACCCTTTTTTGGGAGACACACTGCTCTTGTAATTTACAGAGTTTAGTTTTGAAATGAGCTTGAACAAACAGGTCAAAGTTTACAATTTTTCATTTAGTGTCAATACGCTGTAAGCGTGTCATTCGTTGCGGTCCGCTCCCCCTAGTGATGCTACTGTTTTTATTTTTTTTTTACTATTTTAATATTGTAAACAACACTGGGAAATAACAATTTTTGCTTCGTATTTAATTAATATTTTATGTTGTGTGATAAATCCATGGTTAAAAAGATCCATGCAATGGTCTTGACGATTACCCTATTTAAACCTGGCCCCAAAGTTTCAGACATCGTCTTTATAGTTCAGGCGTCTGAGTAACTTTCATCTCATTTTTATGCCTTGGTCAAAGAAGGACTTTCTTGCAAATGAATATAATTCACTTAACTAAACATTTTGATTTAGGAGTGCTGTTATTTAACAATAAACAAGACAATACATTAAGGCACCACTTTATAAAGACAATCTAAAGCATAGAATAGTAGAAGTAGGTTACAGTTTCTAAATGAAATTATAATCCTATTTTAAAATAATTGTGAGATCCATATATATATATATCCAATGTATATTCATTAAAGTAAACTTTTTTTTTTCTTATTTAAATTAACATTTTAATCGAAATTCAATTAAATTTGACACTATTAAATTGTATTGTGTTGTAATGTATTCCTTCAATATTTGTCCTACTTTTGGGGTTTGGAGCCTGGGCAAGTTGAAAGATAATCTTAAAATGGACAACATATTGCTAATAAAACATCTCATTCAGTTGTGTGTTTAGTCCATTTATTACTTTAAGCTTAAAGTCTGCTTATGTAACAAAATAAAAAGTAGCATAGCTTACCCGTTTTAATTGTAACCTGGATTTCGTTCTGGTTGATCCATCTACAAGCTGCATATGATATGTAAATGTTGATTTCCTCCTCTTTTGTATACGGTATATCCAATGAGGCAAAACGTTCTCCCAATGCAACTTTATTTAATTTGTCAGATTTCAACTGGACTAAACACGGTGATGCCTGACTTTCACAGAAAAATAAGACGTTTAACCTACATGACTTATCCTCAGAGTTTGATATACACTCAGGCACTTTTATTTCAAAATGCTTTTCACTATAGCTTGTTTTCTTTCCATTGATAAAAAGTGTTCCGTTTGTAGATTTCGAGTCTGTAATATATTTGTAAAATGAAGGTATATGTAACAAAACTGATTTTACAATAGACTGTCATTTAATTCGCTAAAAAGTAAAATAGTATAGTATAATTTAATGATTGTAATATATTTACATAAATTTGGCTACAAAACCAGGTAAATAAAATATATATTAAAAAAAACTAAAAACAAAAAAAAACAAGAAAAAAAAAAAAGCTATATAAATGTTTGATAATTAACGTCATCAAAATGTGTGAGGGCAATATAAAAAAAATTAGACTTTTAGTGATAAGAGGGATAGGTGGTAGATAAATTATATTACTATGCTTGTTAAACACATTTTTGTACATTGATATTCTTTAAATTGTCCAGATAGTTCAAGTTCAGAACCGAAAACAAGAACTTAGCTCTAAAACCCAAACCATATTTCTCGACAATGACGGATACTGCCCATTATATGGGAAGCGGAAATAGTCTGTGAGCTTATTGTTTAATGCTTAGAAGATGCTGATTGTTTAATTACTTTATAAAACCCCGGTTTTCATAGCAAAACGAAATGACAATTTTCCCATACTGCGTAAGAGAAATAAAGCATGAATTGAAGATAAAAGCATTTAGAAAACGGTTGGCTTAATAGGATTGTAAAGATTTTGAAATAATTGCGTTAGTGACTTCTTAAAATTTAGATAGATATTAATTATGGGACATACGTTTAAAGATTATCTTAAAAACAATCTATATATATCAAAATGAATGTGTGTATGTCTGTATGTCTTATATGCGCTCCTACACCATTTATGCGATTTGAACAAAACTTTGGTCAATTGTTGTCCAAATAAATGGCCATTGAAGTAAAATATTAACAACCTTATAAAAGGTTCCGTTTCTAGCCGATGGCCTAAAATTCGTTTTTTTTTCTTCTGTGAGCTTTGTAAAAAATATCTTCCACATGCGCTCCTACGCCATTTTTCCAATTCTGATAAAACTTTGGTGAGATGTTGCGAGCATGCCTGTAAATGTTCATAAATTATTACAACCGTTTTATCATATTCAGTTTTGAGCCAGGGGTCTATGTTGCATTTTCCTTACATGAGTATTTAAATATATTTTCAAACCGTATGTTCTCCTACACCATTTATGCGATTGCAAAAAAACTTTGATGAGGTGTTTTTCATAAGGGGTAGCATTTGACTGTATTATTTAAACACTTTAAAAATATTCCGTTTTCGGCCATAGGCCCTTAATTCGTACTTTTTCTCATATGAGTTATGTAAAAAATAATTTTCGCATGCGCTCCCACGCCATTTATCCCATTACATTAAAATTGGTAAGATGTTGGCGCCAGCACGACCGCAAGGTTTTTGAATTTTTAGAACCGTTTCAAAATATTCTGTTTGGGGCCAAGGGCACTATGTTCATTTTTAAAAAATATAAACTATATACATATATTTTCAAACCGTATGCGCTCCTACATGATTAATGCGATTGCGACAAAACTTTGGTGAGTTGTTATCAATAAGCCTGCGCATTTTACTCATTCATTGCGACACTTTTAAAGTATTCCGTTTTCAGCCGTTAGACCCAAATTAATATTTTTACTTATATGAGCTTTGCAAAAAAATAATTTGCATAAGCGCTCCTACACCATTTTCCAGAATGCGATAAAACTTTAGTGAGATGTGCAATCTCCCACAAAAGGTTCTTAAATTATTACAACCGTTTACAAAAAATTCAAGTTTGAGCCGGGGGCCCTATGTTCGTTTTTTCTAACATGAACTATATACATATAATTTCAAACTGTATGCGCTACTACACCATTCAAGCGATTGCGATAAAACTGAGCTAATGCACGGATGGATAGCTTTTTAATAAATTAAAAATAGTGACATTAAATTGTGTGTGTGAAATATTACGTAGGTTTCTGAAGTAATACAACAATTCTACAATATTCCGTTTGTGGCCGGGGGCCCAACATTCGTTTTCCACCCTTTTATTAACTATATAATGTCCGACACATTTCTAAATCATTTATGCGATTGTGATTAAACGCAATCAATTGAAATGCGCACTACCGAAAATGTTTCTAAATTTGAAAAACCTTTTACAATATTCCGTTTGGGCCAGTGACCATAATTTCGTTTCTTTTCTAAGAGTTTTATAACTATAATTTCAAACAGAACTATTGCATGTGTGGATGGAGCTGAATCCACTCGCAAATTTTTCTAACTTAGTACAACCATTTTACAATATTCTTTTTCGTTTTCTTAAATGAGCCTCATCAATATAATTTAAACGGAGCTATCAACACTACCTCCTTGACCAAATTACACATTTGTAGTAAAGCAGAGAAAACACGTTTTTCATTTTTAGTGTAGACAGTATTTTTGTTAATTTTATAAATCAGCTTAAATTTTGTGATGCATTTTAGAATCGGATATGAAGTTTAACACATGTTGTTGTTTTTTTTTTTTTAAATTAAAAGTATTTCTTAAATTTAGTCTTATAATTTCGGAGTTGTTTTGTGTTATGTAATGAAATTTTACATGAATCGATGGTTTCTTAAGTAATTAAATAACACACTTGTCAACGCAGGTAATGAACTATGGTAATATCGTAATTTTAACGCTGGAATTTATGATTTATGTAATTGAATGTGAAGCTACACAACGGAAACTCTCCTGCCAACAATAAAGGTACCTATTGTGCAAGGTTTTCGTGCATCGAGATGGAAGAGCCTAACGTGTGAAAATTATTAAAGTTAGCAATATTGTAAATTAAATTAATCAATTACTAAAAATGATATTTCATTTTGTGTGTAACCTAATAAGTTGTGTTAATTGTGAAATACCATTGTTAAGGACAGATATCACATGAATTTGTAATATTCGCCACAAAGCAATAAATTCGCCGTCAAATCAATTATGCCACCCAAACGAAAAGCTATTGGTTTTTCTACACCTCAAGCACGAAAGAAAAAATCATCACGCGCTTCGGAAACATTCAAGCAACGAGAAAATAGATTGGAAACTGCTCGAGTACACAATTCTCAAACCCGTTCATCTGAAACATTCGAGCAAAGACAAGAAAGACAATAAACCGATCGAGTACGCACTGCTCAAACCCGTTCATCTGAAACAGTCGAGCAAAAGAAAGCAGGTTAAGAAACGACTTGAGTACGCAAGGCTCAAACCCGTTCATCTGAAAAAGTAGAGCAAACGAGAAACAAGACTGGATTCCCATAGAGTACGCACCGCTCGATCCAGACGAACACTGCAAACTGAATTAATTCTTAGTAGATTCCATTACGATGCAAATTGTGATTACATTTTTCATCCAAGTGTGGTTATTGGAAAAATGGATTAATTATGCGTGTATTACAGTGCCCTCAAGTTTAAGAATGAAACACCGGGAATTTGCTGCGCGGGTGGGAAGTGAAATTGCCAGAATTACATTCACCACCGGAACCATTATCAACGTTGGTATCAGGTGACAATAGCCAATCGAAACATTTCTCTGCAAACATACGCAAGTACATTACATTTTTCCAAATTACATCGTTCGTTGCAACAAATATCGTGTGTGAGAAACACATGCCAACATTAAAAGTGCAAGGCCAAAGTTTATCATCGTGCATGATCTTTGATGCCAATGCAAAACACAGATCACAAATTTCTTCAAATGTATTTAATGGGGAATACTGATGAACAAATCGATCAACGTTGTCATATCAATACAGGCACTAAACGAGAAATCGTTGCTGCATTTCAAACGTTATTTTTGCAACAAAACGAATTAATTCCAATGTTTAGAATTGCACTTGAAAAGATGCCCTCTTATGACTACAAAGTCATAGTTAGAGCAGACAAAACAACTGTCGGCCAACACGAAAGACAATACAATGCACGAACAATTGATGAAGTGGCGATCGTTATATTTGGCGAAGAATTTAACTCACGTGATATAATTCTTCATCGCAGAAGTGGCGATGTTCAGCGAGTCTCAGAAACTCATCGCTCATACGTTTGATTGCAATATCCTATTTTATTTTGACAAGGAGAAGAGGGATATTCTTTTAAAATAAAATTGAGAAATACACAGACAGATGAAGAAAGTCAGTGCCATGAAATACTATTCATATCGATTGATGATCCGTGTAAGTGCCGAAAATCATCTCTTGAAATGTCAACAATTATTCCATCAATACATTGTTGATATGTATGTGAAAATCAAAACCGAACGATTCATCTACATTTGATTAAATCAAAGCAAGTTACGTTCCGAAGTGTACATTTATTTACATGATGCAATTGTGAATGATTGCAATGTGAATCCAAATGAATTCGGGAAAATAGTTAAACTTCCTGCGACATTTACTGGAACTCCACGACACATTCATGAATACGCACAAGATGCAATGACTTATGTTCGCGCATATGGCGCCCATATTTTTTTTATTACATTTACGTGCAACCCTACGTGGGTGAAAATACAAGAACTTTTGTTAACTGGACAATCAGCATCCTTCCAAGAACTGAGAACAGTAAACGATCAAGTATGTGCCACTTATCGTGAAGCTTGCAAAGAATTAAAACTTTTGGACAATGATGCTCATTGGGATACTTCGCTCTCTGATGCATCGAATATTGCTAAACCACAGCAAATACGCACTTTGTTTGCAATCATATACACAACTTGCTTTCCATCCAATCCAAAAGCTCTTTGGGAGAAATACAAAGACGACATGAGTGAAGACATCCTACATCATTTGCGTACAACGAATGAAAATCAGGACATTAAATTTTCACCAAACGTGTATAACAAAGCATTGGTTTCGATTGAGGACATATGTTTGGCAATCTCTAACAAAGCAATGGTAGAGTTGGGAATGACTTCTGCTAATAAATCTGCAAACAAGCTTTCCAATCGGGATATACAACGAGAAAAGCACTTTGACATCGAAGAATTATTTGTTCAGGTGAATCTTCCAAAATTGGCTCCAGAAAAACTCATAGTGTATGAAAGAATAATGCATGCAATTACCAGACAAAGTGATGGACTATATTTCCTAGATTCGCCCGGACGCACAGGAAAAACTTTCTTAATTTCACTTATTTTGGCGACAATACGATCACAAACAATATTGCACTGGCTATCGCATAATCTGGAAAAAAGCACTCTTTTGGATGGTGGTCGGACGGCCCATTTAGCTCTGAAATTGCCATTGAATATGCAAATAACTGAGATAGCCACATTCAATATAAATAAAAATTCTGGAATGGGTAAATTACTCCAATCGTGTCAACTCATTATATGGGACGAATGTACTATGGCAAACAAAAAAGCATTGGAAGCGCTTCATCGTACACTAAAAGATTTGAGAGGAGATGAAAAGCTCTTCGGAGATTTTCGACAAACTTTACCCGTTATACCACGTTCAACAGCAGCTGATGAATTAAATGCATGTCTTAAATCATCAGTATTGTGGCAACATGTACAGAAATTAATTTTGAAGACAAATATGCGTGTACAACTACACAATGATGCATCCGCTGAACGTTTGGCAAAACAATAATTGGACATTGGGAATGGGAAAATGGCAAAAGAAGAATCAACAAAATGAATCACATTGCCAACAAGCTTCTGTAAAATTACAATCAACATTGACGAATTGATTCAAAATGTTTTTCCAAATATCGTACATTACAAAAATCATCAGTAGCTCAGTGCACGTGCTATATTAGCAGCCAAAAACAATGATTTCAATGCCATCAACTTAAGAATTCAAAATGAAATCCCAGGCGAAAGAACAACGTATAAGTCCATCGACACTGTATTTAATCTAGACGAAGTTGTCAATCATCAAACATAATTCTTGAATTCACTTAACTTGTTGGGCATTCCGTCACACATTTTAACGTTAAAAATTGGCGTACCGATCATGTTTTTACGAAATATTAATCAACCACGACTTTGCAATGGTACCAAGCTATCAGTGAAAACCATGATATATATATATATATATCATATATATATATATATATATATATATATATATATATTATATAAAGCAATATCATTGAAGCTACTATTTTAAATGGAAAATTTAAAGGAGAAGATGTACTTTTGCCACGCATCCCAATGATTTCAACAGATATGCCATTTGAACTCAAATGTCTGCAGTTTCCGGTGAAACTCGCATTTGCAATGATCATCACAAAGCACAGGGACAATTGCTATAAGTTTGCGGACGAAATTTGGAAAACCCATGCTTATCCCATGGACAGCTATATGTGGCCTGTTCTCGCGTCGGAAAACCTTCTGATTTATACGTGTATGCACGGGACGGAAAAACAAAAAAACATTGTGTATTTAAAAGCTCGACAATAAACAAAATTAAATGTAAACATTTTCTTTCTTTGAAAGGATTTGCAGCGCATGGTGGGTACTCGATAGTACTACATATCACATGCATTTTTTATATTCCTCACAAAGCAATGCATTCGCTGTCAAATCAATAATGCTACCTAAAGGATAAGCTTTTGGTCTATCTACACCTCAATCCTGAAAGGAAAAGTAATCCCGATTTTCTGAAACGTGGAGCTACGGGAAGCAAGACTAGAAACCACTCGAGTACGTAATGCTAAAACCCGTTCATCTGATACAGTCGAGCAACGGGAATTAAGAATCGAAACAACACGAGTAAGCCATGCTGAAATCCATTTGTCTGAAACAATCGAGCAGCGAGAAACAAGACTGGACTCCGTTAGAGTACGCACTGCTCGATCCAGATGAACACTGCACGTTAAATTAATATTAGTGCATTCCATTAGCATGCTAATTATGATTACAGTCTTCATCCAAGTGTGGTTATTGGGTAAACCGATCAATTATGCGTGTATTGCAGTGCCCTCAAATTTAAGAAAGAAACACCGGGAATTTTCTGTGCGGGTGAGAAAGTGAAATTGTCAGAATTACATGCACCACCGGATCTATCATCAATGTTGGTATCTCTGATGCAACGAATGTTGCTCAAAAACCGCAAATATGCACTTTGTTTGCAATCATATTGAAAACTTGCTCCCATTCAATCCAAAAGATCTGTGGTAGAAATACAAAGACTACCTGAGTGAAGATATCCTATATCGTTTGCCTTCAACGAATCAAAATCTAGACGTTAAATTTAAACCAAAAGTGTATAATGAAGCATTGGTTTCGATTGTGGACATGTGTTTGGCAATCTCTAACAAAGCACTGGTAGTGTTGGCAATGACTTGTCCGAATCGATCTGCAAACAAGCTTTTTAATCGTGATTTGAAATGAGAAACGCATTTTGATCTAGAAGAATTAGGTATATTTGTTTGGATGAATCTTCCTCAATTGGTCCCAAAACAACTCATATTGTATTACAGAATTATGCATGCAATTACTAATCAAATCAGTGGACTATATTTCCTAGCTGTGCCCGGAGGCACAGGAAAATCTTTCCTAATTTCACTCATTATGGCAATAATACGATTACAAAAAAATATTGCACTTGCATCATCTGGAATTGCAGCAACTCTTTTGGATGGTGGCCTCAACAGCTGCTGGTGATTTAAATGCATGTCTAAAATCATCAGTATTATGGCGGCATGTACAGAAATTGTCTTTGAAGACGATTATGCGTGTAGAACTACATGATGATGCATCCGCTGAACGTTTCGTAAAATAATTGTTGGACATTGGAAATGGAAAAATGGCAATTGATGGATCCATTCAATGTTTTATACTGCCAACAAGCTTCTGTAAAACAATAGCTACCACCGACGAATTCACACGTACAGTTTTTTTCAAAATATCGCACATTATTACAAAAATCATCAGTGGCTCAGTGCACGTGCTATATTTTCAGCCAAAAAAAAAACGATTACAATGCAATCAACTTAAGCATTCAAAATGAAATTCCAGTCGAAACGACATCGTTAAGTCCATCGTTATTGTATTGAATTAAGACGAAGTTGTCAATTATCCAATCACTTCACTTGCCAGGCATTCCATCGCACGTTTTAACATTGAAAATTGGCGTGCCTATCATTCTTTAATGAAACAAAAATCAGCCACGACTTTACAACGGTAACAAGTTTCAATGAAAAACATAATGAAAAATACCATTGAAGCTGAAGCTACTATTTTAAATGGACAATTTAAAGGAGCTGATGTACTGTTGTCACGCATCCAAATGATGCCAATTGAATTCAAACGTCTGCATTTTGCGGTGCGACACGCGTTTGCACAGGAAAAATCACTACAAGTTTAAGGACGAAATTTGTAATACCCATGCTACTCCCATGGGCCAATGTATGTTGCATGCTCTGGCGTCGGAAAACCTTCTGATTTATTCGTGTATGTACCAGACGGAAAAAAAGAAAAAAACTTTATGTATTTAAAAGCTCTTGAAAAGACATAATTAAAATGCAAAAACTTTCTTTCTTTGAGAGGCATTGCAAAGCATGCCGGGTTCTCGCTAGTAATATATATAATTAAGAAAAAACATTGAAAATCTGTTAATAATATTAATGAGTTAAAGTTGCGTAAACGATTATAAATTAACAAGAATATTCTATAGCGAAAGTTAATAAATTACATTGACAAAAATATTGTAACTGAAAGTAAATAACGAATAACTTCTATACTTTCTTTGTTAAAAGAAAGATGATAATTGAACAAAATCTTTTTAAAAAAATGTGTGTACTTGTTTACAAATGACTATTAAATATGTAAATGCATTATTTATTATTTTCAAATAATAAAATACATTAATTATAAAGCCCAAGTTCGCTGTTTCAAACAATTTTCATTTATACTATTATATTTTGGAACAAAACATGTCTTACCAAATATTTCAGGAAAATATTGAATGGAACTTGTGACAAACTCTGACTGCGAACGCATCAACTTAGCATGAATAGCCAATTCACTATATTCAGTTTTTGCAGGAATAGGAATTGAAATGTTGAAATCAGTCTCTGGCATGTGATTTATTCCAGAAGTCTTAAGTAAGTCGTCCAATGGTAATGTTAAAATCTAGACGAAATATTTAATATATTTAAACAGAATTAAAGATGCATATTGATGCAAACATATTTTTTAAATAAAAAACATAGAAAGAACATGGTTAGCACTACTTAATTTTGTGGTTGTAAATATTTAAACGAACATGTTATGTTTTACAATTTTTTTTTTTTTAAACAGACATAGATATAAAAATTTAGCCATCTAATGTAATATTAAATAAATGCATATTTTTAAGCATAAAAACATAAATGTAAAATGATATTTAGATATCAATTTACAAAAATGATGTATACATTCCGCAAGGCAAATGAAAACGACATCGCAGTAGATAAAACATTTTAAAATAAAAAAAAATTAATAAAATTATAAAATTATTCAAAACTTTTACTAACAAGTTTTACGTAAATTTCCCCGAAATGTCAGCGTTGTTAACATCTTGTGACAATACAAATGGGGGTGGGGGTGCGAAGAATAAACTCTTAGTCCTCTGGTCATTTACACAGGCAATGGTGATGTTATATTTATGTTTATGCAAGATTAGACCCGAACGGTTTACTGACGGGGATATTGAGGTTACTTGTGAACTGCTGATCATGGATGTTTGTTTTGTTATCGAGATTTATTAATCATGCACAATTTTAAGTGAATCTGTCGAAAGGAACATGCCGAAAATGTTAGTTAAAATATTTGCCACGAACAAATTGATAAAAAATTAACAAAATAACAAAAAAATAAAATCGTGTAATAAAATCATATATATATACGTGAAAATATGGGGATTTATCGATTTGTTTGTTCGATGGATTTTGACCAAACATAAATATTCATCATAATACAGAATCAATAGTTAGGGCATTGAATTAAGAAAAAAAAATAGTGTAGGAGGCTCCGAATTCGTTTTTTCCATATTAGAAATATAATTACAATTACCAACAAACACTCCTACATGAATGGTTGACTCTAGATCAAACTTAGTACACATACACTTAATTATGCATATACAAATACTGAACTCATCATAACTAAACCTTTGGGGCCGTGGGGCCAAATTTCAGTTTTCCTTATTTAAGCTACTAGTTAATACATACGGTGCTGCCCGGGATAGCATTCGGAAAAACTACAACGTCTAAAGCCTTTTAATAAACATTGAAATAAAGCGCCAAGTAAATAGAAAACAAATTTATCTCATATAAAAAACATTAAAAACAACGTTTGTAAACCTTTCGTTTCTCGATGAGATGCCGATCCTAGTGGGATTCCAATACCGGTGTGTGTCCCTCCCGAATGGATACCAATCCTTTTAAGATCCCGATCTCGTTAGTATCCAGATCCCGTTAGAATAATGTTTATTGTTGGGATCCCGATCCACATGATATTCCGAATTTGGAGGTAACGTAATCCCGGTGGAATCACGATTCCGGTTGGATCCTGATACCGGGCCGATCCTGATCACTGTCGATTTAAGTCGTCAGATAGGATTGCGATCCCAGTGGGATCCCGTTCCCGTTCGAATGCCGATTGCGTTAAGATCCCTTTTCCCAGTGGGAACCTATTCTCTGATGGGATCAGATTTCCTGATAGGATTCCGATCCCGGTTCGCTCCAGTGACCGGATGGTACAGCTTTACCGGTTCGTTTAGTTTAATGCAGGATCTCGTTAACGATACAATAAGTTTTTAGATCCCTTTTTTTCCCCAATAGAACTATATTGAAATTTCTTGAATATTCTAGATTAAATTTAATATCCTCTTCGAAAGCTGTAACAAATAATTTTTTAAAATTAACTATTTTTCGAACACAACAATTTATTCAACTAAATGCACTGATATAAATATAATGCTTTTAATTTGAATGAAGGGACCCGAATTTGACCTATTCAATAATTGTACCGAATAAGTTTTGCCAGTGTATGGGGACCCTTTAAAATTCTTCAGATCACTTATAAAGTTAAAATAAAAAATGTGTCCATTTTAAATCTATTTAAAAATGCAATAGATATAGCTATTTAAATTATTGAACTTCTAGATCTTGTATTCTTAATCCACCGATATTTCATTACGGACAGTGAAGTGTAATATAGATAGACAGATAGACACATGGATACATAGATAGATATAAGGACACATGGTTAAATAGAAAATATACATAGATCGGCTATATCAATTGATAAATGGATTTACTTGTTGATATATTTCAAAGTATCTATTATGACACATCTCTTCAAACTCAACCATTGCAACCAATTCTCTCCCACCCGTTTGACTGATAACACTCAACGCTGCTTGCTTCCGTTTATGGTTAGACAGGGGTAATAGCACTTGAGTAGGCTCGGTCAATATTTTAAAACAGCTGTTTATAAAAGAATGTTTTGCATAACTGTTTTTTAATGAAATTTTTCATTTTTTTTTCTTTTTGCAAATTTGATGTGAAACGCGGTGAACCTAGTCATTGGCTGGTGTATGGCGCTGTACAAAACCACTTTAATAATAATAATGAAAATAATAATAATTATAAAGATATTTTTATATAGAATGGATACAATATATGTCTTGGGAAGTAATGTTAAAGATAAACATATCTCATTTTTAAAAATAACTTTTTTGTTTAAATATAAATTAAAAAAAGAAAATTAAGAAACTTACAAAAGTAAATTTTGAGCTGTTTGTTTGTTGATAAAACATTTGTATATGGCTATCAGGATGATAATGTATTCTAGCTATAAATACAACAGTATCAATATCGTTTATTATTCCCTTGGTACACTGTGTTTTAGCATCTTGTTGTCTGTAACGCTTTAACTCTATGGTCTGCGCATGTGTGTTCACTGTGTGAATAGAAATTTATTTAAATTGTAAGACATATATATTCTATCTTCATAAAATGACAGGTTATTTTTATAATTCAGTTATGGATTTGTTTTTTAGATTTACCTTTTTTTAGTATCATCCATTAGCATACTTACACATGTAACTAATCATATTTAAAGGATTTATCTAAGGTCTTACATTTGTTCAACTTTATTATTTATACCAATATGATTCCAGAAAATCATTTCTCAAATACGCAAACCAAAACCAAAAGGATTTTCCACTATTCATTACGTTTATAATTTTACAAATAGAGAAGAATACACACCCACCAAATATAACAACCCAATTCAATTCTTTCCCTCATATCAACGTTCTCCGATAAATATAAACATAAAAGTAACTCCCCGTTATTCTTTTAATTAATATTTTTATATTTCTTATGTTTTCTGGGTTTTTTTTTTTTAAATGTAGGAACCTGTCGAAAATCTCTTAAAGATATATTGTTAAACTATCTTAAAAAGGGCTATACCGAAATCACTATGGCCAAGTGGGGCAATTTCATCTTATTTTTTATCCAAACACTCTAACACAACTAGGCTTACAGAAACCATTCCACATAAATATTTTCATGAATTCGAAAGCTTTAAACGTTTCAGAAATAAAATAAAAATTAGTTTGAGGAGTATTTTATGATAGATTTAAATTTTACGATAAAATTGAGGTATCAATAGAAATGTTTGCTTGATAAAGGCAGTGTCGAGGACATATTGATAGAATAATATACTACTGAAGAGTTATTTAAAGATATGTGTTATACATATGATTATCCACTCCAGCACATTACATTTAAGTCCTTTTCTGCTTGTACATCTTTTGCTCGCTTATATTTATATACACATACAAACTTTAAGTTGTGCCAAATATTTTTAAATTACCTTTTATATAGACGATTATCAACAACACTTTTTTTGAAAAAGCAATCATGTTTCTTGCTTCAAAACTTTGAAATCATTTCTGAAATTAAATAACTAAAATCATTGTTTGAAAAGGGTGTGTATCGTTGTGTTATATTGCTTTAGTTCTTTGCTTGTCTCAATTTAAAATCTTAAATGGATTGCTGGAATTCCATGACATTTATCCACATAAAATTTAAATATTTAAAGAGTTGTCGGTTTTAAGAACAAAAACTAAGCCTTTTGAGGCAATTGTCAAATACTTTAAAAGTTCACCTTGCAATATTTAAAACTAAAAGTTATCACATCATAAGCCCTGAAATAAATAGGTTTTTTTTATTGTTTTTTTTACATGTTTTACTTGCAACACATACCGCATAACTTAGCCATAGTTTTTAATGGCTATATTACGTTGATAACTATCTTTTAAGTTTGTGCAACGTGTCACTTATCAACAAACTGATAAATATTAAAACCAAATGGATGTTAAATTAAACAAGACTTCTTATACTCTTTAGAGATGACAAAAATCGTAACTTTTAGTGCTAGGTTGCACTGTTACATTTGTGCTGACTATTTAATAGATTATATGCTTTTAAATCGCAATTGATCAGACCATTAACAAATTTTTTTTTATTGTTTTAAACATTTACACAACAAAAATAAAATATAAATCTAATTAAAAACTCATTTTTGTTTTTTTTTTCATCTCGTTACTTGATATGCAAAGTTAATGGATGTAGACCAAATTATTTAATAATAGCCTTTTGTATTTGAAGTGAAATCTTGGTTTTTTTAATGTCTCAAAAATTAATTTTTCAAGTATGAACAAAATTGATATTTCCCCATATATATTTTGTAAAAATAATAAAAATAAAAGTTTACATAAAATAGTTAAGATGCTTCTTTGTGAACTAATGATTCTTAAACAAAACATTTACACGTCACCTCTAATTGTAAACGTAAATCAAAGATATTTTTTTAATTTTAAAGCCTTTTGAATGAACTAAATTAAAATTGAATGATAAATTTAATAATGTACGAATTATGAATTCTTCTTCTGAACACTTGATAAAGGTGCAGTTATAAAATGTATACTTTTTTCAATTTTGAAACAATTACCGGTCCAGTATAATTACCGACATTACAGGTAGTTTTGGGAAATTCCAAAAAAATTTGTATAGGATATAAACTCTTTCAGAAAGAAAATAAAAAAATAAATTAATCATTCACTTTTGCTTTACAGTCTGCTTCAGTAGGAAAAGGAAAATTCAAAACGGCTATTTGTACTGAGAAATTTTAAGCAACCTAATTATTAAAAAAAATAATTTGTTTTTTTAAATATATTATAGCAATTATATCAACAATGAACAGAAAGTGCTCAAATATTTACATCATGTTTAGGTTTTAAATATATATATNATATATATATATATATATATATATATATATATATTTAAATAATCATTTAGGTTGTAAATTTAAACGTATTGTTAAAGAATCCTTATACATAATATAAGAAAGGAAATGGATATATTCTTTCTTAATTATTTCATTGTTTCATTGGTGATATTAATTTCACTGAAAGGTAGGTTATTTGTCATAATCTATACAAACATTTTTTAGGAATTTGAAGTTTACTTAATATTTATGCAAGTATGCAGTTTACTGCTTGGGTGAATTTAATTTTTTTCAGGTGATCTATGTATGTATGAATGTTAGTAAGTATGTATGTAAGAATGTTAATATGTATGTATGTATATTTGTAATTATGTATGTATGTAATTATGTATGCATGGAATCATGTATGAATGTAATTATGTATGTATGTAAGTACATATGAAATTATGTATGTATTTAGGTATGTATGTAATTATGTATGTATGTAATTATGTTTTTATGTATGTATGAATGTTTTTATGTATGTATGCATGTATGTTTGTATGCATTTATGTTTGTACGTAAGTACTTATGTATGTATTTATGTATGTATGTATGTATGTATGTATGTATGTATGTATGTATGTATGTATGTATGTATGTATGTATGTATGTATGTATGTATGTATGTATGTATGAATGTATGTATGTATGTATGTATGTATGTATGAAGGTATGTATGTATGTATGTATGTATGTATGTATGTATGTTTATATTTATGTATGTAATTATTAATGTTTAAATATGTAATTTAATTATGTGGATGGATATTTATCTACCTATCCATGTATCTATCTTCTCTCTATCTATCTGTCATTTTATCTAACTTTCTACCAATTTATCTATCTATCTATCTATCTATCTATCTATCTATCTATCTATCTATCTATCTATCTATCTATCTATCTATATATCTATCTATCTATCTATTTATCTATCTATCTATCTATCTATCTATCTATCTATCTATCTATCTATCTATCTATCTATCTATCTATCTATCTATCTATCTATCTATCTATCTATCTATCTATCTATCTATCTATCTATCTATCTATCTATCTATCTATCTATCTATCTATCTATCTATCATCTATATATATATATATATATATATATATATATATATATATTGAACAATTATTGTAAAAATGTATACATTTCGCGATAAAATGTGGCTTGGACATGAGAATTATATAATATTGTTTAGGGTGTGTAAAATATGCGATGGCACACATCAGTGGTTACAAACCAAATGTTGATTTTATAAATGATTTGTCCAATTAAAAATAAAGTTTGTGTATCTGATGATATCGATTTATGACTTTTGCCTCAGGCAGCACAATGTCATCCACAGTATTGGTGGTTGAATGTTTTTTTTTTTCTTCAAATTTTTCAAAGTTCAAGTATATTACACACCGGAAATAATTGGTATACAGATGAAAGAAACAATTTTTTTTTTTTGTAAATGGCACTTTAGTTGTTTTTTTTATGTTATAGCATTTTATGAGATAATTATGGCCAAAATGTGGTTTTGTGAAATTTAAAATGTCACTTATGGGGTAATGCAGAATGATACTTGTGTAAATTGTAGCAGTCTGACACATTATCAAAGAATCAGGATTAAAATTGCAGCTAGTGTTTACAAGTTAGTGGAATACCAACCCAGTCAGCTTTGTTGCTTTCAAAATTAGTTAGTTAAATAGGTCTTTGCTACGTTTAAAAAAAATCAAAATTCATTCTCTCAACATGTCCATTTTCCTTCGCACCAATAATATATAAATATTGCCTGCTCCTGCGTTCTGTTTGAACACGTTTTAGCCTTCAAAACTTTCATGGAGATGGATGGTGTCGTATTTCCTTATCTAAGTGATCCCAGATGTCTCACGGATTTGGCTTTCCTTGTGGATGTTTCATGGGAGCTGAATGTACTCATCAAGAGGTTACAAGTATAGGGGCAGCTTGTCAGTGTTGCCTCTGACAATGTCAGGGCATTCTGCCCAAAACTTAAGTAATGGCTCTTGTAGGAAACTTCTTAAATTTCCCAACATGCAAAGTACTCATGGACACGTGCACAACATTCAATAGTAAGTATGCTGATGAAATTGAAAAGCGACAATAAGAGTTCAATCAAAAGTTTCTAGACTTTATAACACACAGAGGCACATTAAAAAGATTTTCCCTTTTTCTACTTTAATATGGAAGATGATATTTCTTTTTGCGCTTCAAATGAAGGTGATTGATCTTCAGTTCAAATTCAGGGAGGTAAATTGCAAGTTCGTTTTTGGGTGTACATATCTGTGTGAAAAGCTCTTGTCCACTTTGCACTTTAACAAGTCAAAGGTCAGTGTCAAACTTACTGATGAACATCTTCAAACTTTACGTGGATCTCAGTTGCTTCATACCTCAAGCCGAATATTTTTCAGCTGTTTTAGACGAAGCACTTGCAGGTCTCTGACAACAAGGAGTAGTAGAGAGTAAGTGAAGGCTAGTTCTTGAGAACCCTTAATTTTTTTTATTTGTTATTGATAAAGGTTTAGCAGATTTTAATAGTTGTACTTTAGTGAATTTCTAATTGCTTTGTGTAATACTTGATTTGGTCGAGTCTCGCTCAGAGTCTACCTGCCGCGGCTTCCGGATATTTCGAATATGATACTCCTGCTCTACAGTATGTTCAGAATTTATTTTCGAAAAAAACTATATCTATATTGTTTAGAGGCTCAACGTTCATTTGCTTTGCGTGTTTGTTTGCTATACCGAATATGGCTACACAGTCTGTTTTGCACAATGATACTACTTAATTAGTTTATGAGCATAACCTGTGCCATAGATACTAAAAAAAAATTGGGTTGACAAGATATGAAAAGCAAACACAATGGAATTATTTTATTTTCTAATTAAAAAAAATAAATAAATATATATATATCATATTGCTTAGCAGCGGCTCGAAGAAAGATGGCTTTATCTTTTTCCTCTCCGTTGCGTATTGAGTTAAAATCACCATGGTGCTGATTTATTTGGTTTTCACTGGCATATCACGCTATTTGATTGCAAGTCTAACTTAGTTTTTTTTCAACAAATTTTTTTTGAAACCTTAGATTAATTTTGTGGCTTAAAATAAGAATACCATTTCCTGCATCAACTCTAGTATCTTGTGTTGCACACGCGGCACTACATACATATTGAATCGGTAGAATTTTAACTTGGCGGGGCGTATTTTTTTATTAGATGCTGGATTGCAACAAGAACAACACAAATCAATTGTTAAAAAATAAACTGAACATATTAAAAATTTTCTCTTTTTACTTGTACATTTTCTTGCTCCACTTTTTGACTGAATTGACACTTTTGAATTTTAAATATTGTTATTAACTTAAATTACTGTGGTATTTAAAATATTTGTGTTGTTTAATATTTTAGAATAAGCGTTTTTAACAGTATTTATATTTTCAATAATTTCAATATTTTCATTTAACTTCAGAAAACGAGGAATTTATTAGGAAGTAGTTACATGCGACAAAAGCTGAAATTGGATGATTAGATGGAATAAATATCTACCATAAACTCTAGCAAGTTAATCTGCAATTTTTTAAAAATCTTTTGATCACTTATCTCTTAATTTATTATGATAACTGTAAGTTCTATAAATTTTTCTGATTTCGGCCAAAACCAATAACAGTCCGAAAGTTTAAAAATGACTTTCGGCCGAAGACAAAAAATTAGCCGAAATTTTAAAAAATACTTTTCGGCCGAAACCGAAAGCTTGAAGAGAATTTCCGCCGAAACCGAATCCGAAGCCGAAAATGAAATATTTAGATATTTTGAAAGTCCTAAATACATACACTCTGCATACATCGAAAATGATAGGGAAGGTATGAATATTTAAATTATTTTTATAAAAATGAGATAATAGTGAATATTAATAAATAAACATCTAATATAGGGGTCACAAACTCGCGGCCAGCGAGCCATTTGTGACCCGAAAGATGATATCTTGCGGCCCGCTAAATGACAGAAAAGTTTAGTGTTTTTTTGTGCCGGCGCTTTTTGCCACTTCTCATAACGTGACTCTCCGCGACGGTTTCAGTCGAACCTCACCGACTAGTCTAATTCTGATTTTTGTCTTGTTTCTATATATGATTGTATATGATGATTATAATTTTGAGAGCCGTTTTAAAATCGGAAAAAAAGTTTTTATTTTATAGTTTCTTATGCGACAAACATGGCAAAGAGTTCGGCTTTGAAAAAAGTTTTTAAAAGTAAGTTGGCGGGTTATGCACTTTAACAAGTCAAAGTTCAGGGCCAAACTTACTGATGAGGATCTCCAAGCTATACTGAGGGTCTCAGTTGCATCCTCACTCAAGCCAAAGTAGCTCAGATGTGTAAAAAGAAGCACTGCCAGGTCTCTGGCAACAGTGAGCAGGTGGAAGAAAGTAAATCCTAGCTCTTGAGAACCCTTAATTTTTTTCTTTGTTATTAATAAAGCTTGAGTAGGTTGTATCTGTTGTTAAAGAATTTGTAATCGCCTTTTCGTGGAATAATCGATGCGGCCTAGTCTCACTCAGAATCTATCACCTGCGGCCCCGCTGATGATTTGAGTTTGAGACCCTAGATCTAATGAATACTTTGGATTTTACCATTTAATTTAAAATTAATTTAAATTGCTTTAAAATTGTTTGAAATTTGTATCTTAGGAGAAAATTTGGCAAAAATTCGAGTGGGACGAGGGGGGGGGGGGAATTAATGCAAAAACAAATTCTTGAGTGCCTTTTGCTTTTATAATATAATTACAACCTATAAAATATAACTACAATAATTATTGTGGCTCTAATATAGCCAATTGCCACCTAAATATATGTAATTAAGATTATAAAATGTCAGCACAAGTTCTCAATGCTTTGTGTTTTCATTAATAGCTTGCATATCACCGTATTAATATTTAACCTAATAACTACAGACTAGTCTTTCAGTACTTGTCACTTAATTATTTCGTTTGTAGACCAGCCTCCCTCACACCCATTGATGGCGAATTTTATTTTTAAAAAACCGGGTCTCTTAAAATAGTTTTCTCATCATTGGTCTGGACGTAGAGTCGCAAAAGACACCTAAATTGGTCGCCAACATCATAAAAGTACACAGGTCTGCAGTAGACCTGCTACATAATTATAAGACGAAACTGTGATACATGCAAACGCATATTTTATCGCTAATAACAACGTTTATAAGCATGATAATAATTTATTTTAAGAAATGAGTGGTTTGAAAAGGCATAAGTTTGCTTTCTAACCTTTAAAAAAAAATAATAATCAATCAAAATGTAAATTTTACCATTCCCATGGATGATGCAATATTATTTACCTTTGCCTATGACAACATTGATAAGCATGATAATGATTAATCAAAATGAATACCAAAAATGAAGAAATTGAATAAACGTACGATGCCCCACCATGAGGATCGATCCTCTGCCAGCTCCTCCCAGTTTGAGATGTCGATGTTGGCCGACTTCATGCCTCTTTTGCATATTTCTAAGTATATATGACAAGGCCGTCCAACTGACCTTTTCCCTGTCGCCAGCTCGCTGTATGGCACGTCCTTTGGTATGCGACCAGGTTGATTCGCTTGACGTGTCTAGGCCAGCGGAGGCGTCTTTTGAATAACATGGCTGGGACGCTACACATGTTTGTTTAGTAAAGGACATCCGTGTTGGGGACTTTGTCTTGCCATTTAATGTCAAGGATGTGGTGCAGGCATCTGAGGTGGAAGCCATTGAGCCTTCTTTCTTGTTTAGAGTATGTGGTCAACGACTGGCATCCATACAGAAGTGTGCTCAGTACGCAGGCCTGGTACACCTGAAGCTTAGTTCTTGTTGTGAGTTTGGCGTTTGACCAGACTCTTTTCTTCAGTCTGGCCATAACAGTAGCGGCCTTCCCTATCCTCCCACTTATCTCATCCTCCATTGAGATAGTGCTCGATATGTTGGATCCCAGATATGTGAAACTGTCAACAGTATCCAAGTCGTAGTCGTCGATGGCGATAGTGGGGAGGGAGTCAGCGCCCTGTGCCATAATGTTAGTTTTCTTTAGGCTAATTGTCAGGCCAAACTCTTTGCAGGCAGCGGATAGGCTGGATACGAGGCTCTGCAGGCCGTCAGCTGTGTGAGATACCAAAGCGGCATCGTCCCCAAACAAGAACTCCCGCAGGAAGACCTTTCTTGTTTTAGTCTTAGCTCTAATGCGGGCAATGTTGAATAATTTGCCGTCATCTTTTTTATTTATGATCTCACATATTAAAGAGGGATTTTTTTTTTATTTAAAAAATATATTTAATGAATTATTTCTTCAAGAAATTGTTATGTTTGGCTTTTTTTTTTTTAATTTGTAGGTCACTTTTGATAATGAGATATTAATAAGGTAACATCGATTTATATAGCTTAAACATAATATTACCTTGTTAAGAAGCCTTAACTTTAAATTAATTTTAAATCAACAGATTGTTTAAGGATCGTTCCATTCTGTCCACCAGCAGAGGAAGGCAAAGATTACACATTGTCTTTCACGTTGACACACCCAAGTGATCAGTATATAAATGTCGCAATTGTCAGAGAAGAAATAGCCGTGGCAAGCTGTTCTTCTGCAAGTGTGTGCACAAATTACCTTTCATTTTTCTATAAGGCAACATCATTTCGGAACGAAACAAAATCGGAAATTACGATTTATGTTACTAGTTATAACATGACCCGAACGAATTTAGCAACTACACATACGGACTGGTATGTTTCACTAGATGCAAAAGATATAGGCAGTTGCAAAGTCCAATTTTTCTGTGAGTCTTTCTTCTAATCCATCTATTATATCCAAACAACTTTTTTAGAAAATATTATTAAGAAATTAGTGAATTCAACAAGAAAATATAAAGATGTATCAACTTAATTCAATTATTTTGAATGCTATATTAAAAATGTCTATGTGCCATTGATTTCAAAACTCAATTAATAAAATTGCTTCTTTTTAACGTTTCAGCAATGGTAACTATCAATAAATGTGAAAAATACATTGATGATAGACATCTTTTTATTATTTGTTCGATTATCAAAAACTACAATCTAATGAAATGTGAAATATATGCAGTTATTCAAGGGGTAAGAAAATACGTTTCATTCTTAATGTGACCTGTAATTATCTACAGATTTTACCAATACATATTATTAATCAATCAAAATATCAGTTAATGCTACTATCCATTTAAAAATCAATCAAAATAATCATTACCCTAATAAAAAATTATCCATCTGTCTGTCCATCTATCTGTCCATCTGTCTATCCTGATTCTATCTATCTATCTATCTATCTATCTATCTATCTATCTATCTATCTATCTATCTATCTATCTATCTATCTATCTATCTATCTATCTATCTATCTATCTATCTATCTATCTATCTATCTATCTATCTATCTATATAGCTATATATTAATATATATATATATATATATATATATATATATATATATATATATATATAAGTATATATTAATAAATATATATTTATATCTATAAATTTTTTGAATTTTGGAAATAGTGTATCTATTTAATACGCAATATTATGCCCCCATCATCCCATAATTCAATGCCTGTTAAGATCTGAAAAAAGGAATGGGTGTGTTGGGAATATTTTGTTGAACATTTTTTTTTAAATTCGCAACATGCAAAAGATTACCTAATGACATAGGTGAAATCCAATACTTTAGCCATACTTACTTGTCCTGTTTCAGACTTTTAGAGTAATGAATATACACAAAATAATGGCGTGTATAAAAATGAATATGCACGTGATTCAGTTTCTGTCGCAGAAAGAAAATTTTATTCCTTTAAGAAAGTAGTTAAAATAAGAAAGTTACAATTAAAATCATAAAACAAAAATATAATTTTGTAACAGTTTTAAAAAAAATGGTCAATCTATTCCTAGCCCAGTCAGGGGAACCTAATTTAAGAAAAGCATTTCGATGAAAAATATAATTTCATGCAAAATCAAAATAATTTTCTAATTAATTTCGTATGCAGTCCGTTTTAAAAGCAAAATTCGTCATAGCGCCTCTCTGGCAAGCACTAAATATTGGCTCAACTATTGCTGCGCTAGATCTCATTTGTTAGGAGACATTTACTACCGAGTTAGATGGTTGAAGTCTGGCCTTACAATCTTGTAATTTAAAAAGTTGAGCTATTCCATCATTGTACCTAGCTGTACACATACAAAAATGTCGAAAGATTAAGAAATGCATGGTTTCTTTACTTCATACTGCTGAATTTATTTGCTATATAATTTGTTTTGAATGGGTAAAGTCTGAAGTTGGCATTAATAATTTCCTGGTATAATTTTGTCTAGCCAATTGTATAATTAACATTCCTTGCCTAGGCCATACTATACTCAGTCTATCCGTATATAGTTAAACTTTTGCACAACTTATAAATATTTATATATATATATATATTTATATATATTCATATGAAGCTACTTGTAAAAGTTGTATTTTATGTTTAAATATTTTTAATTTAGTCTTGATGTATTTAATCTGCAGAGTATATCAGAGAGATGCTTAAAAAATGCAGTTCAGTACACAAATAAGGTTGTATCAAATAAAACTATTTATTATGCTGCCGAATGTACAATCGATATACCAACAAATTGTCTAAGGCCTCAACAGTATGAAATATTACTGACTCTGTACACTCAAGTTATTAACAAAGATGAAGACATCAACTTAAGTAGAAATCAATCTGTGCTGATCAACTTAAGTAAGTTTTTTTTTAACTATATATAATTTATATATTTATTTTTAATTTTAAATTCTGAAACATATTAACAAGATAGCTGATATTATTATTTTGTTAATATCTTAATTGTACTATATATAAATATAACCTTGTGCTTTAAAAATATAATTATATTATTTAGTCGTAAAAGAATGGAAAATTTAAAAAAAAAGAAAATTAAAATGGGGCAATGCATTAATTGATTTAGATTGCAATGTGGTAACTTATATGATATTTATATCGCCAAAAATGTCAATCGGATAACATTTTGCATTTGAAACAAGAAAGTATCTTGTTTGAAATAAAACTATTTAGTTCTCTTTGTTATGACAGAATCAGCGATATAAAATCAGTAAAGTCATTTCAATGTTCACTCTAAAAGAGTCATTGTAAAAAAAAAAAAAAAAAAAAAAAAAAAAAAAAATAAAAAAAAATATTAAAAAAAAAAATCTTCGTGCATATTTTTCGTAAGAAATTTTTTAACTAGATTTTTAAAGTAAACAATGTTCTGATTTTGCGAGGCTGTTGGATCATGGTACATATTGTATAAGAGACTTTATATAAGACAAGTAGTAGAAAAGACTATACAATGCTAAGATTTACAACCGAGAGAAGTATACACTTCAAATATATTCGTTGATTTATTGTGTTATTTTTAAATTCATATTCAGTGAGGTTTTTTCTTTTATTTTTCATTTACTTTCCAAAAGAAGAAATATTGAAATGTAATCTTACTCAGATGTGTTGAAGCAAATTCTAATGCTGTAATTGAATTTAATTTAAATAACAGAATAAACTGAAAATCCATTTTAATCAATCTCAACAAAAATCCCCTGTGACACAAAACATAATCTTATATTAACAAATATGAAATAGACAGATTCATTAGTTAAAAAAAAAACAAACACAGTATATTTCTATAATCACTTATATTTCTTTTTTAACAATAGATTATCCTACACTGCTGCCATTTGATTGCCCTAATATTGTTGAAGAAAATGTCGAAGTCGTTTGCAATTGTGAAACATCTAACAACAGCCTAAATAACGTTTCAGTTGTTTGGTTTGATAACGAAAATTCTAACATGGACTATGGAAATGGGCCTCACATCCTTAGATTTAATGCAACTAGAAGTGGAAAACAAACAGATTTCAGTAAAGTTTTGACATGATAAGAAAAACTCTTAGTTAACACTACCATCGTAGAGTATTATTTTTCTTAAAAATCTATGAGCTAATATATTTTATGTGTTTGTGTAAAAGTGAAGGTCAAAATAATGCATATGTACTTTTTTATTTCTTTATGTACTTATGTAAATGTCTGTCTATTTGTTTAAAGGTTTAATTGATAATTTCGGGTAAAATAAAATGTACTTCCAAATTAATAACATTCTGTTTAACATTTTTTAAAAGAATAGTTTATAAGATATGTATATATATATAATATATNTATATATATATATATTTATATTTAAATATATATATATATATATATATAATTCTGCAGAGTTTTTTTGTACAGCTGTTGACAACATTTGGAAGAAACCAATGACAAAACAGTATTATTCACCATATGTAATAGGTAAAGTAAAAAGAAGTCGCTCTTAATCTATTTGATTTTTAAAAAAGAAAGTATGTATATTCGTTTATTCACTAACTTAGGGTAAGCTCATTTTGTCTCTGAAATTAGATTTTTTAAGCATAAAAAGTGCTTTTAGTTTTTATAATCAAAAATAAAATTTTAATTTCTTAAAATTCCTTTTTTTTTTTTTTTTTTTTTTTTTTAAAATAAAATTGTTTAAAGAAGATATTTTTTCTTAAATTATAAAGGTGGAAATATCGTATAGCTGATCAAAATAATTTTGTTTGTGTTTTTAAGTAATAACAAACACAATTCTGCTATGATCAAGGTGGTGTAAAGTATCATTTTTTTCACACAAGTATAGTTTTTTATCCTAATTTTTTTAAGGTGAGACTAGAATGTGCATTATTTAAACTTCCTTAATTATACGTGTTTCATGCTGCAAGGGAAACATATCCATCAAATAGTTCATATCATTCATTGAATTGCATTGCTATATTATTTATTTAGCCAAGATAAAATCAATGTCCTGCGAGCAAGACCAAGCAGTAGAAGTAGTAACAATAACGTGTACATCTGGACAAGTCTTCCCCATTGCTAATTGTACATTTATATTTAACTTTGAGCAGGTAAGTATAATACACAATTACATTGATTTTTACGGCTTGAACAATTTTGAATGTATTTTTTTTATCATTTATGTTAACTTCGGTTTTTCAGTGACTGGCTGGCAAAATTTTCGGACGTCTAATTGACCTACTTCCCACACACTTGTTGAGTTGAAACTTGGCACATTGACTCAATATAGATACTATACAATCTTTCAAATTTTCACCCTATCCCTCCAACCTCAAAAAACAAAAATCAGTTTTTCCATATTTTCAAGGGCGAAGATAACGGAAATATGACTACACCGATTTCATGAAATTAAATTTACCGATGATTTCGGTAAATGAAATTTTAAAAAAAAAAAAAATTGCAAGTGCCTTTGGTGCGTACTATTTTTATTTGTTTTCCTGAAATAATTGATGAAATAAATCTACGGTGTAAAATCAGGTATGTCATTTAATTGCGATTGCGAACATGGGGGTTCGGGGAGGTAAAATTTGGATTTTATAAAGTTCTTTACAGACCAACTCCCAGCCCCCACCCGAATTTGCTCGATATTACATTTTATAAAGGGTTTATACGAAAAATGTGGTTTTATGGGTGGTATAGTTTGTTTTATAAACTAATTCGTTTCCTGCAATGACTGGAATTAAAACATGTGACATTGGATTTAATGTCGGTTTAACAAAATTTTGACTTCTTCAGTTTTAAAAATATCTGAAACATGTCATATAGCAACTATACACATAGCTTGCTTTTTAATAGCGTTGTTTTCTTAACGTCCTTTAATATTTTTTGTGTGC